GCCGTCGTTTAGTTTTTTGTTTTGGAAGGACTGGATGGAAGTCAGGAATTTGGTTTTAAACATGTTGAGTTTGAGCTATCCTTTAGACATCCAGGTGGAAATGTCAAACAGGCAGTTGCACATACAAGTCTGTAGTTGGAGGACATGTCCAGGTTGAAGATAGAAATGTGGGGGTCATCAGTGCACAGTGTCACTAAAGCCATGAGACTGTAGAGATCAACTAGGGAGTGAGGGTGGCTAACAAAGATGAGAGATTTGAGTCTGAGCCCTGGGGCTCAGTTTTATTAAAATTAAATTAGAAAAAAACCAAAAGGGAATATTTGTATAGCGCAGGGGTAGGGAACTTTTTTTCTGCCAAGGGCCATTGGGATATTTATTTATTTATTTAATTTATCTTTATTGTTGAAAGTATTACAGATGTCTCCTTTATTTGTTTTCCCCATAGACCCCCCTCCTCCCCTCACCCGCCTCTTCCAGGCCTTCACCACACCATTGTCTGTGTCCATGGGCTATGCATATATGCATATAAATTCCCTGGTTAATCTCTCCTCCCCCACCCTCACCTTCCCTCTAATATTCACCAGTCTGTTCCATGGTTTTATGTCTCTAGATCTATTTTGTTCATTAGATTCCACCTATGAGTGAGATCACATGATACTTATCTTTCTCTGACTGCCTTATTTTGCTTAGCATAATACATTTGGATATTTATAATACCATTTTTGGGCCATACAAAAGTATCAACTTGAAAATTAGTCTGCTATGTTTGATCAAACATTTGATTAACTCACCCCTAATGCCTTGGCAGGGCCAGACAAAATGATTTTGTGGGCGTTATATGGCCTGCAGGCCAGATATTCCTCACCCCTGGTAGAGAGTTTGGTGTGTTGTAAACACTCAGTGATGGTAGATTTAATTTTCACTATTCTGTTCCAAGTCTTTAGCCTCAGCCATTCCCCAAATGTGATATGTTGTTATAACCTATTTTCTTTCCATCCTTGAACACTCAGCTCAAGGATGTTGCTTGGAAATCTTCCCATTATCAATCCTTCTTCCACGCTGATCTTCCCCTAATTTGAGATGACAACAGAAATGCATTCCCAATTTGTGACTTGCTTTGCACATGTTGTGACCTGGTAATCCATTTCAGATGGAATGTTTTGTTTCCAGAGTTGTTCTTGATGGAAAGGATTGTGTTTCCTAAAGTAATGCCTAGTCAATGCTTCTTCCTGAAAAATGCTAACACTCTTGTGTAACAAATAGAAGAATCTACTTTAATCTATTATGCATGACTCTAAGTGTTTTTGGTTTAAAAAATATAATATGCTGATTAGCCAATGGGAAGGGTAGCGGTCGTACACTAATTACCATGTTTCTCTTTTATTAGTGTAGATTTTCTTTCCATCCTTGAACACTCAGCTCAAGGATGTTGCTTGGAAACCTTCCCATTATCAATCCTTCTTCCATGCTGATCTTTCCCCAATTTGAGATGACAACAGAAATGCATTCCCAATTTGTGACTTGCTTTGCACATGTTGTGACCTGGTAATCCATTTCAGATGGAATGTTTTGTTTCCAGAGTTGTTCTTGATGGAAAGGATTGTGTTTCCTAAAGTAATGCCTAGTCAATGCTTCTTCCTGAAAAATGCTAACACTCTTGTGTAACAAATAGAAGAATCTACTTTAATCTGTTATGCATGACTCTAAGTGTTTTTGGTTTAAAAAATATAAGGAAGGAGTGAGTTTATTCCTATTTTTAAAATATTATCTTTTTAGCCTCCTAAGGAAAAATTCTCCCTGGATTTCCTTTTCCCTGGCTGTTTAGTTATTTATTTACTTATTTTCAGGGTATACATTCTAATTTTCCCAAATTCCTAGATAGTGGGAATCTTGACTTTGTTTCATTTTTCCTTTTTTTTTTTTTTAAGTTGGATTAAAATGTTCCTCAAAACTGGAAAGACCAGTTAATTGATCTGTTCTCCCACTTCTGGGAACAGAGCTCAATATCTTCCTGGGGGACAAATCTTGTTCCGCCTTAGCCTACCATCAAGATGTGCTGAAATATAAGCTGAAGGTACCATTAAATAATTTATAAAGTTAAAGTTTGGAAGTTACGTGTTGAACTCCTTGGATCTTATTTTACTTAATTTTTGTTTGTTGAGAATCAACAGTGTTATTTAGGTTCTTGGGTACTTGCCATAGGCACCTACCAGATTGGTTGGTGAAGGAGAAAAAGTTCCATCTATTTTGAGGATGGCTTTCTGGATGGATGAAAACCTGCATGAAATAATTGGTTTGCCGAGTGTTTCTTGTCAACATGCTTCCTTTGTTAGAGGAACAAAAATTCAGTGATTATATTGCCACCTTGTTCATAGCTTATGCTTCTCTTAAAGAAAACAATCCTTATAAAAAAGAGGAGTGTAGTCCTCACTTCAGCAAGCTGTGCAAGAACTAGGTCTACATATTAAATCCTCTTTCACATCAGGGGTTCTGATCTTAGAGCACTGTGAACTGAGGGCTCATAATAATGACGGATAAATGCTGCCCTTTTTGCTTAGGACTAGCCTGGAACCCATACATTTTTGTATAGTACAGAGGCTTTAAGCATTCCACCAGGGCTTTTGGTCTCCTAATTCTGCATACTATGCATGCATCAAAGTATCACTGTAATTCTTTTTCTTTCTTTCCCTTCTCTCTGTTTTTCTGTCTGTGTCTCTTTCTGATCTTTTTTCCCCCCTTAAACAGACATTGACTATGATTACATGGGTAAAGTTCTTTTTGGGGGCACTTATAGAGGACTGAGATATGTTTCTCTATTATTGATGTTTCTTTATGAAGTCTTGGGCAGATGTTTCCTTACAGGTTGGCAATCCACCTAAACGACAGCAGCAGAACATATAGCTCGTTTGTGCAGAAGAGGCACTCACACAGGAGCCAAGCTTCCTGAGGAAATTTCTCCTCTCTTATCGAAGATATTTTCCTTGACATTTAATATGTTGGATAGAAAAGTGACTTCTGAGTCACAGAGCCACAGAACCCAGCAATGTGCTGGCTTGGTTTGTTAGTCACAGATCCTTTGGAACAGTGTGTCAGAAAGAAAAAAAAAATGTTTCCTCTTCTCCTGAAAAACCATATGGCAAAATTTGGCCGTTCTTCATCACCTCTCTCTTCCTCTTAGTTTTCTAATTCTGCCATTATCATCAGAAAGGAAGAGGAAAAAATGGCATCATATGCCCCTTGATGTATCCAATTGCCTTAAAATTCCTTATTCTTTACAAAAAAACAAACAAACCTTGAAGGTAAGTTTGAATTGCTTGTCAAATATGGCCCAGCAGTAGTTTCCAGTACTTAGGATTTTTCTGTGTACTTACACCTCTGTTCTTCACCAACATTAATCAATCCTCTCACACTGTCCTCAGGAGGCAAAGCCTTTTCATTTTAAACGAAGTCATTGAGGGTAATTGAATGCTCTCCAGCAATACGTGGGTGTGAAATCGCAGTTGCTTAGTTTCACAGAGAGAAAGACAGGTTTTGAATAAAACTTTGATTTGCCTTCCATGGGGAACAGGCCTCTGCACTCCTTCCAAACCCCACAGTTCCTCAGAGAGCAGCCTGTGCGCAAAAGAACAGCTAATGGAGGCTCCATTGTTTTTCAACAATTGGTGGTGGAGCTTTTAGGTTTTTGAGAGCAGGTTGTCCAGTCCATTTTCTCCAAGGAATGGGAAGTCTTATCAGCTTTCCTGAATTGGATTTCTATCTTAGTCTGTGAAGAGAATCAGAACGAGGTAGTGAAACTGGAGACTGTCAAGGGTGGTAGGCATTTGAGTTTTCCATCTGTGCTGGGATACCTTTGGAGTCTTTGTGCTTGTAAGTAGTTTGGCTCTTGATTCTGTAATTCATAGAAAGTCACTGGAACCTGCTTCATTTACCCCAAGACACACACTAAGGCTGGAATCTACCAGTGTTGATAAGCTTTGTTAATCTGAAAATAAAGTCCAAAGTGAAAGGCAACAAGTGTTTATTTGAGATCTTAGAATAGCTATTTGGGAAACGTAGATTCAGGTAGAAACTCAAATAGTGTTCCGGTGATGGGGTGAAGGCAAGAGTTTTTTAATGAGAAAAGGGAGGGAGCCCTAGCCGGTTTGGCTTGGTGGATAGAGCGTCGGCCTGCGGACTGAAGGGTCCCAGGTTCAATTTCGGTCAAGGGCACATGCCCAGGTTTCGGGCTCGATCCCCAGTGGGGGGCGTGCAGGAGGCAGCCAATCAATGATTCTCTCTCATCATTGGTGTTTCTGTCTCTCCCTCTTCCTTCCTCTCTGAAATCAAGGGAGCCCTAGCCGGTTTGGCTCGGTGGATAGAACGTCGGCCTGCGGACTGAAGGGTCCCAGGTTCAATTTCGGTCAAGGGCACATGCCCAGGTTTCGGGCTCGATCCCCAGTGGGGGGCGTGCAGGAGGCAGCCAATCAATGATTCTCTCTCATCATTGGTGTTTCTGTCTCTCCCTCTTCCTTCCTCTCTGAAATCAATACAGATATATTTTAAAAAAAAGAAAAGGAAGGGAAATAATTACATGAATAGAATAAAGACATTTCTATTGGTGTTAACAAGCTAAGTTACTCTTTAGCTATACATGGCTGGTTACTGATTCTAAAGAATGTTCACAATTATCAGTCCTTGTGAGAGGAGGTCTGCTTTCCTGTTAGCTTTACAAACAGTTGTTTGTAAAACAGTGTTGGCTTGACCCAGTCCAAAGATTATTTTGCCCATGTCAAACGTTCCAAAGTTTCAAGGAGCAAGATGTGCAAGACCTTTCCTCTGGGATGGCGGTTTTGATTCCATTCAAAAATGGTTCTATTTATATGAATTTTCTTTTTTACGGTGAAATTTTTTTTTATATTTAGAAGTAGCCAGCTGGACTCAGTTTAGATGATCACAATTTTGTTGGGAGCATCCAAAACATCATAACCAGGAGCCAGTCAAACTTATGTCTTCTTTTCTCTATGAGGCCTGATCAGAGTGTTGACCTTGGCCATGTCAATGTCATAGAACTTCTTCACAGCCATTTGGATGTGGTGCTTGTTGGTCTTAACATTCACAATGAACACAAGTGTATTGTTGCCTTCTACTTTTTCATGGCTGATTCGGTAGTCGGGGAATTTGATGATAGCATAGTGGTAAAGTTTATTTTCTCCTGGGGGTGCTCTTCCGAGGATATGTGAGCTACCTTCAGAGCTCCAATGTCTTGGGGTGACATCGGAAGGTGGGTGATGGGTGGATCTTCTTTTTCATGTGGCTGTGGACGCCTTTCAGCACTGCTTTCTTTACCCTCAAAGCCTTTGCTTTGGCTTTGGAGGGGCAGTGGCTTCTTTCTTTGCTTTCGGGGCCATCTTCGTGAAAAGCCATTTATATCAATTTTCTCAGCTTCTTTTAAAAGCACCCCGTGAGTTCTCTAGACACCTCACATTGGTTCCATTAATAATCTAAGGCGTTTTCTGCTAATAGAGGAGGAGAAAATTTGTTGTTTAAGAAGCATTTTTATTCTGCTCAAATGATAGAAACAAAATTGAGTTTTATGAGTCTACAAGACCATCTGTAATTTAAACTAAAAGCAAGATGGGTTGTTAGTTGATGGCTCAGGAGGTAAATTTGACCATGAAGAATTTTGTTGGAGTCACACCGTGTTTTAAGTATTTGAACATACACATCTTTAGATGGGGCATATAGTGTCTAGTGGAGTCCAGCTCAGCTCTCTCTCCATTGACATTAACTGTCTGACCTCTGAAGGCATTTGAAGTTGCAACCCCTGAGCCAGATGTCAAAATCAACAGTTAGCCAGATGTTTTCCCAGTGAGGTTCAGGCTGCTAAACTCGGTGGCAGCATGGCACATAGATTTGCAAAAGCTGAAGGTCCTTTTAAGTCATTCGTAGTATAGACAGATGAGTTATCCAAGACTTGAGTTAGATGCTGGGGTGAGTAAGATTGTAGGGGAGTATGTTTAATGTAATCTTCTTTTGGTTGTAAACAGTAAAAATGGATGGACCCTGGCCTAGCTTAAGGAAAAAATAGCCTAAGACCCGCCTCCCTGTCCTCAAAGCCATTTTTAGGGAAAGGGGAAAACTTCTCTAAGTTACCACATGAAGTCAAATCCTTGACATTCCTTAATTATTCATATAATTATTGCACAGTTTTGCCCATAGGATTTTGTTTTTTTTCATATTTTATTCCATTATTTTAACTAGTCCAGTTCAGGGCTCTTGAGCATGAGCACCTAGAAATAGAGTGTAGTTTTGTTTTGTTTTGTCTTGGTTTGTTTTTAATAATGTCCAAGCCTAGCATTTATGATTCTGTGTGTATTTTTTTTTTATTGGTTAACTATTTCTCTGTTTCTCTGTCTAGATGCATTCTTATAGATAAACTTATTTCCAGGTAGCATTTGGCAGTAAGTTGGCAGCTTGTCTATACTTCTGATATTTTTATTGAGGTGGGTATATATGCACACAAGATCTATGTAGATGCAATGTTTTGTTTGTTTTTTTGTTTGCTTAGGAAAAGTTATTTATGAGGACTTTAAATAGAGAAAGTAAATATAATCAGTATGCAGCCCATGATCCCAATTAGAGTTCTCAAACCAGTTAGAGTCTTGTGTTTTTTGAGCCTTTCCCACCCC